AGTTCCCGGACGATCATAAAGGTTAAGCAGCGTTGGACTAGGTACATAACTTGGATGGGTGACCGCTTAGAAATACAAACTAAAATTAGTTTCCAAACCTATTTTTTAAATCATAATTTTGTCGTGTGTATTTTCTTTTATTTTCTGGTATATAATGCTAATTAATAAAATTTTGCGATCTCTCACAATATTCCTGTGCTGTTAAGGTTTACGTTATATTTTAATGTTGCTGCAACGTTGTATTGCAATATTTCTAAAGGCGGACATTTTACCGTTGCTGCAATGTTGTAACAACGTTGCAGCAACATTTTGCAACGTTTTTGCAACATTGCAATCTTGCAAGGAAAGATTGCTACAATTTTGCTGCAATCGTTCTGTGCTGTATGGGACGAGGTGTACGATATTTGGAACGAAAAAATCCGGAATGATATGTACGTAGATTTCATTTGTGTGGAGAACAGGTACTGGGCGAAGCGAATCGTCGAAAAGCTCGAGTATAACCATAATCTGTACATTACGATTTCCGTGGGTAGCGAGAGGTACGTCGAGTTGCTGGTGATAGACCCATACATCTACATGTATGGCGAGTGGAAGTATCCCGCCGCTGTAAAACGGCAGATCGACGAGCACAGGCTGCAGTGGGATCGTGAATTTGACGAACGTGGTGAACTGGACGATACTTTTTGCAACGTGTGCACCGTTCTTCGAAAAAAGTGCATGTATCAGGGAGGCGAAAAGTTGGAGGACTACCGCATTCAAAATATGGACCTAACGTGTCGCCAAATCACGTGCAAGTGTTTCATGGAAGAGTGCGACGTTATATAGACAAAATCATGGAACCTCTCGAGCGATTGGAAAATGAACTGCTGGAGCAGAGTCGCCAGATCGCCACTCTGGCAGTGTTTCGCGTGGTTGCGACGATGCGACGAGTGCATCCAGCGGCTCGAAGAACTCTGTCGCGCCAAGCGTCCTCGGCTCGCCGCCGGAAGTAGACAGTCCGCGGTGACGAGGATCGCGCGACTCGCTATTGGAAGGGTGCGAGTGGAGAGACGATTCGTGCACGTGGGCGCCGGACACAGTGCGGGACTCGTGTGGAGAGAGATCGATACCGCGTTCGACAATCGCGTTCTGACCGGTGCGGTAATTAACACGGATTATATCGAGCCGCAGCGATTTTTGGAGGACGCGGGCGATACAGTGCTCGAGCGAGTGCGAGACGCCATAAAGAGACACGGTAGCGTGAAGGTGAACACCGCGTTCAATGGCGAGTTTACGTCGGGTGATAAACGCGCCAATATAGGCATACCCTCGCGAAACGCGGAACTCTATCGAACGTCGGATGTGCGCGAGTGGTACGAGAAGCATGTCGTCGAAGCCACGTTGACGAAGTTCGGCGAGTTCGAGGAGCGCGACAGCGGGTGGGCGCTGTCGCGAATCCTCAATTTAACGGTAAACGTAAACAAACACAATCCGATGCACGCGGGATGCTACGTCGAAGTGCCGTGGGAGATAGCGACGAAACGAGCGGCGGTCAATGTGCGCGTCAATCGACGGACAACGCGTGCTTCGCGTGGTAGGTGGTTGCCGCTCTGCACCCCGTGGAAAGACGCGCAAAACGAGAGTCGTCGTATCCGCATTACGCAACGGTGCTCGAATTCGCGGGTATCGAGTTTCCGATGACTCTGAAAGACATTACGAAATTCGAACGTGCGAACGACGTGTCGATAAACGTGTACTGTATCGAGAAGGAGAGGGACAAACTATCTGTTATTCCGATACGATTGACCGGTCGAAAGATGGAGAGGCATGTCAACCTGTTGCACATGCAGGATCCACGAGACAGCAGCATCGGCCACTTCGCGTGGATAAAAAATCTGTCCCGCCTCGTGAGCTCTCAACTCAGCAAGAAGCAACACAAGAAATTCTTCTGCGACCGGTACGTATCGAGAAAATACTAAAATAGAATGTTGTAAAAAAGACAAAAATTAAATAAAGTATTTCGTGTTTACAGATGTCTACATTACTTCAGCTCGCAGGAACGACTGGATGCCCACACCGTGGACTGCAACGAGCTGAATGAGTGTGCGGTAGAGCTACCGAAAGAAGACGCGAAATGGCTAACGTTCGGCAAACACGGCAACAAGGAACGTGTGCCGTTCGTCGTATACGCTGACCTGGAGTGCGTTCTAGAAAAGATGGACCCGAATCTGCCTGAGTCTCAACACCACAAGGTACACAGCATAGCGTGCTATATACATTGCTCGTACAATGACGCGTTATCGGGATATCGGTGTCGCCGCGATAAGGACTGCGTCGCGTGGTTCGTCGAGGAACTCAAAGAATTGGCGCACAAAGTAAAGTCCGCTCTGTCCGTTAACGTTCCGATGGCAGAATTGACGCAGATCGGAAGAGCACACGTCT